GAAAACAGTAAAAACTATGTAGCGTGCAATTAGGGAGTGTATAAATAAAGTCTGGCCATAGTCAACTAGTTAACCCAACTAGTTTCTCAGTGTGGCACAAATAATTCCAATAATTGGTTAACATATGCCGTTATTTTAATTTCCACTGTAAGGTCCATCCATGTTTTCTCTTGATAACTATTTTCTAAATACATTTGTCTCTTTTCAGGCATGAGTCTATTTTAAATATTTATTGATTTATTTATTTATTGGTACATTTGTTTTATATTAATTTAGTTCCCTATTCATGTAGTTATTCATTGATATTTCCTTAATTTTATGTATTTCCATGTTTATTGTTTTTCATATATGTATCCATTTATAAATTTATATCCACTTTATTTATTTATATTCTATCACTTTGGGGCACTTTAACAGGCCACAAAATTAGTTTATTTTTAAATATAATTTATCTGCATGAGGCGTTATTTTAACCATCTGATTTAATTAACTATGCCTTTACACTTTGTTCACTTAATGTTTTCATTGATTCTGTCTTATACTAATCTGTCTTATATTTTATTATTATTTTTTTTTAGGCATTTAGGGCTTAATTCATAATACAAGAAATTATATGTTTATTCTTTGTGCTGCTCGGGAGTGAAAGATGTCCCTCTGGTACCCTGATGAAGGCATGAATGGCTGAAACGTGTAGGCATGTTTTTTACCTGTTACTATGAGTAAATAGCCATCAGCTATTTTGAATGAGAAATACATGTGTGATTCAGGGTGGGATGTGTACTTGAAGACCACACTGAACATACTGTATCTAGAGTAGAGTAGTGGTACAAACTGACATCACTCAGACAGGAAAAACAGTGAAATCAAACATCCATCAGTCGTTGTCAACATCCAGTTTTATTGAGAATTCGATATTTCACAACTTTCCTACAGATACACCATCATCACTAAGGACAGGACACAAGGTGTGGTATTAGTAGGTACGTTAACATTCAGTTGGCACAACTAGGATTTACAAAACAGTCGTCGCACAACTGCCGCACTGAAACACAACACAACACAAGATGATCTGTTGTAACATGCACACACAGTAGCATCGTCTGTCTGCACATCTATACCCACACATAGGGTTAAAACTATTCAATTTGCTTTTGCAAGAGCAAATAAAATCCACATCTTCTACCAGTTTGTTTGTATTGTTTCAGCATCCCTCCTCAGTAAGCCACTGTCAGGTTCTCAACTAAATAATTACTTTTCTTTTAAAACAAAAACATATCATTGTTTGGCATTTCGTGATTGTCTGGGTTTTTCCAAGTTTGCTGTCAACTTTCCCCATTATATCGTATTTCATCATATCTTCACCCATCTGATTGGATCTATAGCTATATCAATAGGGGGGTAATGACATTACATTACTCTTTACGTTCTTCTAATTGAAATCAGGATACAAATAGCCATTAAAATGTTCTTTTAACTTCTTCCTACCTTCCTCCAATTAGTCCTAAACTGGTTGGAATGGTTTGGTCGAGTCTGTAAGGGAGCCAAGGATCACGTATGTCACCTTAGACAGCAAATACCCTACAAGGCAGTTAATAAGTTTTACAAAATTCCTATACAAAAGCTGGACCTGAAGTAATACATTCAGTCACAGAGGTGTAACAATCCCTAAATTTCAAACCACCTTCAAATCTGCTGCCCCTTAAATATTTGAAACTTCAAGATCGAAGCAAGGCTAGAAAATGGAAGCAACCTTCAAAAAGGTTAGTAGAAGTAGCTCAGTCATAGTAAAAATCTTACTATTCCTTGCTAGGCACTTAAGAGTCAGTAACTACCCTCTACTCAGCTTTCAGTTACTGTATACTTTATTCTACTTAGCACGCTTCAGCTCGGAACATGTGCAGGTTTCAAGCTGTCGTTGATCTGAACTCAGCTACACACGGTTTACCTCCTGCGACCTTAAAGCAAGGAGGTAAAGGTATAACACTGACATAAAAGACTAAACTTGTATCTGCTGTTAATCCGAGTAGCATTGTGATTTCCCAATGTTTTTATACAACTATATTTAGGTGTCTGAACAATGAACAAAACGATCACAACATCCATGGACAAACAGATAAGAGGTGGATAAAATGATGATGGTCAGATAGAAGGAGGACAGGGGAGAGTTGAGTTTGATGAATGGGGGTAAAGTTCAGTAGACCACTGGATAGTGAAAGGGATACTGGTATTGAGTCTTAATACTTCTTTGGTAGTGACGTAAATGTATTCTGAGCTGTGAGTATTACTTTCTTATTCTCTGATCATAGAGTTTAGGTAATTTTAGACTATTTTATTCAGGCAAAGATTTTGTATATTGCTTGCATTTAGACATTTTTAGCTTTTTCTTTTCCTTTTTAACTCATGTGAAGTGTCTTTGAGCTTTTTGAAAAGCTCTCTATAAATTAAAATGTATTATTATTGTTATTATTATTATTATTATTATTATTATTATGTAGACATTTCACTTTGTTTGACTTTTGGTGTAGAGTGTAGATACCATGTTTATAGTCCTTAGAATAAGGTTATCAAAAGCAAAGTGATGATGTGGTATTGGTGCAAACACCAACATGTCATATCAGCATTAGCATCAATACATTTTATATGATAAGAAAGTAATCAGAAAATATCCCGTCAATAAATTGAAGAAATGTCTCAGTGAAAACACAAAATATTTGATGATTTTCTAATGCAAAAAGTTTTATACATTAAATATTTGGGGTTATTTGTCTGCTGGTCGAAACACACGAGCAATGTTAAGACATTATTCTAACCATTTTGTTTGATAATTCAAAAATGTATTGATTAATCAATGATTAAAATGATTAGTGAAGCTCCAATAGTATTTTTTAACACGTAACAATGCTCTGGGTATTTGTGTTTTTTCTTTTCAATTAACTGTTTCTGTTGGGATCCTCAGCGCCGTTTCATTGAGAAAACGTCCTACTTTATTCTGGTAATGGTGACACTTTCCTGCCCTCTATTCCACTTGGCTCTTCACCCAGCTGCTCCCCCGGCTCAGGCACCCTGCCTCAGTACGTGTGGTCTAAGTATAGAAACTATTGACACTCTTCAATGACTTTTAAGCCAGCATCAGTACTGTTGAAACTGTCTCACATGCCATCAAATGAAAACTGAGTACCTTGTCCCATTTTTTTTACACCACTCCACAGAAAACATTCATATTTGAGAATTTCATGAACATTAGATTATGTGCTGAGGTACCATGTACAATACTGAGAACACTACAATGTAAAAAATGATGCCTCTAACAGAGAACTCAAATGATCTCTTCCTTAGGTTTGTGCATATTTCCAGTCAAGCAAATACTGCTACAGCTCTACAATGTGAGTTTTAAGCAACAAAAAATCCACACTACTGTAGTTCTGAAGTTATTTCTATGACCTGTCGAAATCTTTAGTCTCTAACAAAACATGTCGCAGCTGCAATACTGACAGCAAATGGAAGACAACATATGGTATACGTGCTGTATGTGTGTGTCCAGTTACAGTGACATTTGGACAGAATATTAGACACGCCTCTTAATATACTGTAATCCAAAACAATATCACTGATAGAGTTAAAGCAACGCACAGTGTCAACAACAACAGAACATTGTAAACTTCATAAAGGTAGTATTCACAGCAGGGTTGCTGTATTGGATTACATAAGACTGTACAGGTGTTCCTATTGAACTGTTGAATCAGTGTATCAGTATGAAATTGCTTGATGTGCATTACACGGGACTAGACTTTAATAGGAGGTTAAACTGGAACTGTCATTTTCAGGTTGTATTCTTAACTCATCATTGTGTGTTAATCCTTCTGACAACAAAACTATCTAAAAGCCCATTATATGAGTACAGTGAAAACAAACCAAATAATATGGGCACTCTTTATACTTCATCTGTTGGCACTGGCATAAAACATAGCTCATCTGTCTGCTGTCAGCACAGTAGCTAAACTACAAATAAAAGTCTGTGAATTCAATCTTCATTTGGAGCTCCACTAAGCATTCTGGACTCAATAGTGATATCAATATATAGTCAACTCAAACAAAAACTGACCATTTGACGGCAGTAACCACGCTGTTACCTCTGTGCTGGGCAAGATTTTTGCTCTAAAGTCATACTCTGAGAACTTTTGTGCTTTAATATGCTAAATACCACTAACGTCATATAATCTGCTCCTTTGGTATAATTCTTTAAAACAAACTCACTCAAAACAAAACAAATCTCAGGGGGGCATATTTCACTCTCATTAAATCAAATGCCTCTTAAAAGTCAACAGTAAATGAGTGGCAACTTGCACTGCATTGGAAGGTGTCAGTTTTACACGAACACACAAGGAAGTTGAGAGACCTCAGTGTGTGTGTGTGTGAACCTCTAAACTCTCTGATTGACAAATGCTCTCACCGGCCTGGTCCACGAGGGCAGGAGCATTATAATATATGTGTACACACATACACGCAAAGTCACTGAGCATATTGCACTTAGATGTACAGGACAGTTTGTACAGGTACTCGGTACCCTCCAACAGACCTCATGCCTGCGGGACTACCTCCCGCGTTGCAAACAGATAAAGCGAGGGAGTGCGTTAACTTTACCCACGCATCCTGAGCCAGTGTGTGTTTAATTTTATCCAGCAATACACACTCTTCACTTGTTCATTTTCCTTTGTTTGTTTGTCTTCAGAGGGTGTATGGGGATTCTGTCATCCCACTATACCTGTTTTCTCTCTCTGTATCGCTATTATCGAGTATAACCCATCTGATGCAGCTTCCTCAGGAGGATATGAGTAAGGTCAAAGGTGGTGAAGCTGATTCCCACCGCAATGGGCCCTTTAACCCAGTTCATACTGAGACCTTTGTAGAGTCCACGGATAACCCCCTCCTCCGACACAATCTCCCTCATGGTGCCCAGGATGGTGCCGTACGTGTGACCCGTGACTCCTGCAGTCTGCATGCGCCGTCGTACCACGTCCAGAGGGTAAGACGCCGACTGGCCGATAAGACCTGCGCAGGCTCCAAATGCCAGACGTTCATATGAGTAGGGCTGCGGGCGCCCACTGCGCTCTGCACGGGTGAGAGGGTGTAAAGAAGTGCCGTTCCGTGAACAAATATTTTACATATGCAACATACACATTGAGTGTGTGAGAGAGTCGTAGATACATACACAGATACAGTTAAACTTGGCAGTGGTAGTGCATTACCTTCATGTAATTTCTTCAGTGTCTCATAGGTAAAGAAGCTAAGACCAGCATAGGGGACAACACCCAGAATGGTGGGAGTAAAGCCTCGATACAGTGTCTTCAGGCCCTCTTCTCGGGATATCCGTACAAACACGTGCAGAATGTTACTGTACCTAAACAGCGGAAGCACCACAAAGGAAGAAATATCAGCATGAAACTCACTAACAGACTGTTTACATTTAGAAAAAAACTCTACAGTCAACAGCATTGAATCCATTTGAGGCTACACAGGAACACAAATGTCTGAGTGACATTAACTCTGGTTGCTTCACACTCTTTTTTTCTTTCTGTCTTGCAAATTTCAAGGCCACCTATCAAGTCTTAGGTAATGATTACTGGTTAGGAGTAGCAGTAGCTCAGTGTGTAGGGACTTGGTTTAGGTACTGGAGGGTTGTGTGTTAAAGTCCACGGGCCACAGTATGAATTGTGGGGCTTTTACTGGGTGGGTGAGCCAACTAACCCGTAACTGCTGCTACGTGGCAGTCACTCCAACATTTCTCCATATGAGCCCTCTGTGTGTATTATTTTGGACCTGTGTGTGGCCTATTAAGTGAAAAAAGAATCCTCTTCTTCTTAATAATCAGCACCTTAAAGGACTTGAGCGTCAGCGACAAGAGCAGCAGTTCAGATCTGAGACCTGATGGAAAAATCGCTTGCTCCTCAGATTTTTGATGATTTTCCACTCCAACAATTTGATTTGATTGAGTATGAATTGCTGTGCAGTGTCGTGGCTTTTGATCAGCCTTCCAAAGGTTCCCTATTTCAGCTTAAACCTGAACTTTGAATAAAAACGCTCAATCATATTATTTTGCTCTAGTGATATTGTGTTAAATACCCACTGATGAATGTGCATTGACAGCTAAAGATGATCTTACATTTCCTTTGGCGTTACAGCCATCCTTGCTCGCACCATGTCCAGAGGATACGTCAGCATGGCTGCCGTGGTACCTGCCATAGCCCCTGCAAGTAACCTTGGAAATGGAGGTAGGGCTCTGGGACACAGAGAAAAACAATTCAGCCTTTTACATTTTTCATGACTCCAAAAGACATCAAGAAAATCTTAAGTGAGATTATTATCTCAAAACAAACGATAAAAGGTCTTAATAATGGGTCTACCAGTATAAACTGACACTTACTTCCCCTGAAAGCCATAGTAGCCTCCCAGCAGCCTCTTGTACTGTTCGTGTGCACAGAACTGGATGGCAGCGTATGGGATGACTCGCACCATGGTGGCCGAGTTCCCCCTCCACAGACTGAAGAAGCCATCCTTCAGGTAGGTGCGGTAGATCAACCTGTAGGCCTCCTGTAATGCAATGTGCACACATACATTCTCATAGTCGGGATGTGAATTATTATCTTCTTACGAATGAGAAGTTTTTTTTTTACAAAGAAACTGACATTAAATATGTGTTCAAACCAACCTTGGCAGAGAATCTTGCTGAAGACACTGAAAAACAAAATATATGTGCAATATAAATAACATGTGAAGTGTTTCTCTAAAGTCATCACACATTTTGTCATAGCTATGAATAAAAGAGCCACACATTTAAAACATAATATTAGTTCTAGATATAATTCTATGGCACGCATATGGGTCATTTCAAGTCTAAAAACAGTTCCCACTTTTAGGCCAGCAGAGTATGCCACTTGCCTTGGAAGATGATTTTAGTCCTGTCCAGTGGGGCGACAGCTGTCTTGGCCACAGCTCCTGCTAAAGCCCCCGAGAAGAGTGAGTTGATGACAGACCGAGTGTGCTTCAGGCCCTGCACAGCCATAGAGGAATCACATTTAGGGTGAGCAGCAACAAACAGGGTGAATCCTGTAAAAACTGCAGCCTTGCGTGAACAAAGTTGTGTTTGAGATCCTGTTGATCATTAAACCAGAGTTATATGAAGAATAACAGATGACATCTGATAGAAGCAGGTGTCCTTAAATGAACCGAAGACAAAGAAGAGGCTAAGCTCAGCTCAGTTAAACTGTTTCACATACAATACAACAGAGCAACTAGCAGAGAGAGAATAAAGTTTGACAGCACATCTGAATTTGAGTCAAATAAAGACAATACACAGATAAAACAGAGACAGTGAAATAACATAAGGGTGCCACCACAATTCTACCATTGAAGGTTTCCAGATAATAAATAATTATTAATAACAAATATTTCAATATTTGAAAAATCACAATGACTGCTCTAATGTCCCATGAATTGTTACATTATATATTAATATTGAGCAGCTCTATTATTTTTCTTCAAATTGAGACCAATGAATCAAATTCACAGATTCAAATTGAGCTAAATAATACATCATTACATATACTGCATTTTCCTTTAAGAGTTCTTTCTATATGTAAGATTATGAAGCATTTTATATTTTCATTCACGTATGAATCACTTTTTAATTCAACTCTCTGGTTGCCTGTGGAAAGATTCTTATGCATTTCTATGCAGGGATTGCGCCTACTGTCTGTGTATGCACAAGCACAAGCAACAGGATGCTGACTGCAGTTCACTTAACTGCCACTGGTGTCATTATTGACGATGATTGAATGTTACATAGAGACCCTTTAAGTGTTGAAGGAATGATTATGTCTATAAAACGGAACCTCATAGCTCACTTCTGACTGACTGGAAGAAGCCCGTGGCCGCACTTCGCCTTGCGTGAGTGATGCCCGTTGTTCCTGGACTCCACTCCCCATTCCCGAGGACTACGCACAGCTGTCACTGAGCGTGCTCATGAATTCAACCACCAGGGGGAGGCAGCAACAGCAGGCGCTGAGAGCTACAGGGAAGAGGTCAGGAGAGAGAGACAAAGGTCCATTTCTGTGTCAGGATCGGGTGACAGGCATGACTCTGACTCTATGGAGGAACTGTCATGCAAACACTGTCAACATTCAGGAGGATAGCTTGTAGTTATGACAACCAAAGTATTCAAGAGAAATGTATTCTAGTTTGCTACCGTCTTTGTCCACTCTGAGGGTCTTTAAACAAGAAACTATAAATACCACACACACCTCTCGTAAATACTTACCTGTCCAGTAGCTTTACTAAGTAGTTAGTTGGCTACTAAGTAGTACTACAGCAAGTTACAGCCAAAGATATCTTGAAGGAGAGCAGAGTTGAGGACTTGTAGGTGAAAGGTGTCTATCTGAGAAGAGCTTAAAAAAAACACACCACCACTGAAGCCCCACCCTTTCTAACATACCAGACTACAGTCTTACAATGTCTGTGTACAATCAGGACATTCTTGCCTATGTCGTCAGTAAAGAAGAGGAACAAAGAACAATTTATTTTGGGTGTGATCTTGTTACCTTTACAAAGCAAAACGTCTGCATACTTTTCAATAAACTAATCATTTTGAGACAGATTACCTATTCATGCAACCTTTAACCCTCCACAGGCTCACTGCTCCGTCACTAAATACTGTACACAATTCACAGCCAGGCATTGTTCACACCAGCTTTACTACAAATCAGTCACAAAGTGTCTTTAAAGTTGGCATGTGTATTTCTGCAGGGCTACAATGAATATTTTCATGACTGATTAACCTAGTATTCATTCATTTGTTTTACATTTTGTAACATATATACAAATGTAGTTTATGGTCAGTGTTTTTGAATGTCTGGAATATTGTTCTATCAGTATTTTGTTATATATACATGTATAAATACATTAGAATCCTATTCTTTTTATTTATTTCAGTAATAGTAATAGTAATAAGGACTATCGTTAAGAGTAGTAGCATATGCCAAAGTTTTCAAAACTGTCATGAAATTATATCAAAACATTGTTTATTGTACCTGAATGTATCTCAACCAATACTGGATTTTAAATGCTGATACTAATATTTGAGAGTTCTAAAATCCTGTGATAATATCTTGGCATTTTTTCTTATATAAACCAATAAAAATTCTTAAAGTGGTTGTGAAAATCTGAAAAATTACCACAATGTGAGTCAGAGAAATAAAGCAATTCTTAGAGCAACTGGGAACAGCAAATTATATTTTATTTGATAAGTTACTAAAACAATAAATCAATTGTCACAAATTCCACTACTCAATTAATGATTTGTCTGGTTAGGCACTCGATTATTCCATTGAATGTTACGGAGCAGCCACAGCTGAACTAGTAGATAGTGAATTTGTGTTAAATAATTAAACATTCTTGGTAAAGATTCTTCTTGGAAACATCAAAGTTCAGGGAGTTTGGCAACAGTGAGGAGAATCAAGCAAAACAAGATGGAGAGAGAACGCCATGAGACAAGAGAGCAAACAGAGGGTCTGCTAAAACGCTGAGTAGTCATGGGCAACTCATTTTGGCATCTGTTCAACACGGCTTCAAGACAGATCCTCAAATGAGCACTTAGACCCCTAATGTCCCTCCGTTCGCCTTACCCACTGTCCTCCTTTCTCTCAGCCCTCTTCCCCGTGCATATCATGTTAACACTTCTTTGTGCCTGACTGGTCGCCGTGCCGGTTTTGTGTGCCTCAGGCTTGGCTGCTGTACACACAGCAATGGAGAGACAGAGCTGTCCCTGTGGTTAAATCGTTTTAAAGGAAATACACAGCAGTGCCTTCTTTTAGTGAGAAAATGTCTGTGAAGAACCTGTCCTTTCAGTTGGGTTACCTACATGGTCAATAGTAAAATATCAATGTATCAGTAAACTGGAGGGTTTAAGATTGTGTCAAGATAACAAAAGCTGCCTGAAAATTAAAGTAACTTTGTGTGGACATACAAAGTGGGCAAGATAGTAGGAACACATTTAATTTATTTCATTACAACAGTCATGCTACCTTTATGGAGCGTATATTGAAAACAAAAGCTGTTTATTTAATTATTTTGTTCTTTAACAAAATGTCAGAAAAGAGTTTTTTCCTGAGCCCTGGGTGACATCTTCAAACTGTGATGGGCCTACAGTCCAAAACCTGAAGACGTACCATTTACAATTATATAAAACTGCAGTAAAATGTGGCCTTTATGTTTGACAAGTGACTTACATGATTAATCAGTTATCACAGCTTTTTAGTTTTTTCATCAACTGAATATCTGAGTATTATTTCAGCTTTAAATGTGTCACTTCTAGAATATTCCAGTGTGTGGTGTAGCTGTACTGGACCTCATTACATTATGAGGTCTTATTTTATTCTACCTAGCTTTGTTACATGAAGCAATGTGTTTATAACTGCATTGTATCCCATATGCTGCCATTGCTTCGGCATGTAATGTTATTTTATTCAAATGGTTTGTGCAATCTCTGACACACAACAGGACCACAAACAGGGCACTGCTACAATTCAGCAGTATTACTCTAATACAGTTCATTATACATTCATTCATTAAATAACCACCATGCTCCTCTCCTGTGTCACCGAGTCTTGTCGAAACTTGTCCACTAACAAAACACAGCCACCTTTTTTTTTTTTTCCGCAGCCAGCTAGCTGTCACTAGTTACAAACACTTGATAACTTACCTCACAAATGTGACACCAGCACGAAGCTTTCTAGAGCTGTGATATCGCTCACTTGGTGGGTTGTTTCAACTCGTTAGCAGGCTCTTCTGAAGCTGTTTCTAAGTTAACCAAACAGCAGCTTCAGTCACGTTAGCTCGCTGTTAGCTCGCCGCTACATTAACATTAATGTTACTCTCGTCGACAGCGTTGAGGAAATGCTAACAGTAACGTTAATCTTCAGTCTCGATTTAAACAAAGCTGGCACTGCCTTCCACTCATTTTCTTTAATTCATGCTCTCTGCGGTGACTTTAAGTGGCTGCCACCGTCCATGCTGTTGTTACTACTCCTGTCAACGACCCGAGGCAGTAAACGTTAGCTTGACCACAGTGAGGTTTGACAAGGACGAGCGCAGTGGCATTGTGGGAAATGAAGTCTGATTAAGGAGGGGCATGCTTGGATAGGCCGGTTAGAGGGGCGTGAACAGGAGACACGTTTGGGAGTAGAGTTTGGTTTTTTTGTTGCCCGTTAAGACGCAGTATATGGTGACATGTACACACAGCAAGATAAAGGTGACGCAGCAAAGTGAGTTTTATCATAATCATGCAGAATATACAGTGTGATGTTGTCAGTGGGAGGGCTACATATCAGTGATCTCCAGGTTTACACTGTACTAATACCAACTGAAAGCCAAAAAAAGGAAATGTTTAGCTCTAGTTAAAGTATAAAGGCGTGTTAAAATGAGGCTCTGCCAACACGGTGAAGAAATCTGCTCAGAAAAATACATTTAGATTTCCCCATGGCACAAAACTACAACAACAAACAGAAATGTTGTACAAATTTGGGAACCAGACAGTTTGTAAACAAAATATTAAAAGCAATCAAAACATGTACAACAAGACTACAATGACCTTTTTGCACTTTAAAAAAGCACTGAAAGATATATTCAGCCTCTCAAAAGGTGTTGTGTGGGATTGGTCACTTGCTCTGTTCTACATCGACTACTTTTTACAAATATGTCTAGCTGGGTAGGTGCATCTGTTTAAACTCTTGGCTATGCACACCAACACCATAACATTTCATCTTGCCTAAAAGTTACATTTCAGGTCCCCTCATAATAATGGTGTACAGGGATGTTCTCCTCTACTTTCAGTTGGTGAGGCTGCCATGTTTGCCGGTCCACAGCTCTCGGAGCTCCACCTGGCATCCCAGATCTCTGAGGGCTGCTTTACCCACATCACCACAGTCCTGATGTGTCTTTATTGCCTGGGCTATCAGGGCCTCTGCTCCCATCTCCAGGATTGTTTGGCTATAGCTTTGTGTTCGTGCAACCAGGTTTCTCATCACCATACACGCCTGTTTCTGTTTATAAAGAAAGAAGAAAAAAAAAAGAGTTGGCAGACTGTCACAGGGCCTGGTTTTCAAGTAAGCATGTTAATTATTAAAGACCTCATATTACCTGCACATTGACCGAATTAGGATGTGTCTTCATAGCCTGAACAGCTGCCAAGGCACCTCCATTCTCCATGATGACTTGGCAGTTGTTGGGTTTACGCAAACCAAGGACAGAGAGGCACGCACAGCCCTGATCACACACCTGCAGCAGAACATGAACATCATCTTAGAACATCTACAGAGTTTATTTAGACCTCAAATTTATTTTTATCCCACAAAAACCAACGTATTTTAAAAATGTCTGTTCTTATTCTGTAGTAAACGCTACATCACACCAGTCAAGTTGTGTGTAGTTATGACATTAACTCACCCCTGCGCTGCTCATGTGTCTGTTCATGGCAATGACAATTAGCTGGACTCCACCAGCATTAACAACTGCATCTTTCACATCATCATTTCCTGCTACGGCTCGTATTGCACTGAGGATCTGCCGAACCAACTCCTGCGAGGAGAAAACCAGTTTAGTGAGAAGAACAAACAAGCTGAACCTTATATCAGTTTGTATCACAATGTCTTGTTTTTAAGATGGCTACCTGTGACTCATAGCTGTCTGCAAGCAGCGTTATCATGAGTTTCATGCCTCCTAGATCACAGATGTCTTGACAGAACTCATTCCTCACAGCCAGATGGGACAGAGTTGCACAAATCCCACTCAGAACAGAAGTATTATCACAGTGAGCTGTGAGGAACACAAGAAACAAAATCAAAATACGAATCAAAAAATCACCAAAGTAGCTGAAGCTATTATCCTTAACACCCACGTTAACTAGTGATCAGCTGGCCTTACCTTTCGCAGCCTCAATTAAAACCTTCAGTCCGTTGTGTTCGAGCACAATACTCTTGGCGTGTTCGTGAGCTTGTCCAAATGTAACTCGGATATCATCGTCAAAGGTCATGACCCTGAGAGCTGCAGCGGCCTCCTTGACCAGCTCAGCACATGCACTGTGTTGTGTAATGGCACCGGTCAGCAGAGGCAGGACGCCACCTTTCACCAAATCCTGCCTGTTCTGTTCATGTTTCAAACAGAAGTGACGTACAGCGTGGATGGCTAGACATGTCACAGAGGAATCTGCCCGATACTCCTTAAGGATATTCAAAAGAACCTGCCGGCCCTCTGCATCTAACAAGTCCGGCTGTCCATCCGTCAGTGCAGCCAGAGCGGACAGGGCAGTCAACACAGCTTCCCGCTCCTTCAAACTCTTTTTGCAGTAAGAGAGGATGATGGGATAGGCGTCTTTTTGGGCAGCCAGGTACCTCTGGGCAAATCCAAGTGAGCATTGCTCAGTGAAACATTTAAAGTCTGCCGTCACTTCTGTAACATCGGCAGAATCTTTTCCAATCCGAAGGGAATCCAAAGCCTGCAAGTGAAAAGAAGACGTGTGAGAGTAAGATTTTGATAATTTTACAGTAAGCAGAGTCCGTTCACAAAATAGACTCACCTGTAAGACCATGTGTGTTTGCTCCTCTTGTTTGTCATCAGAAGATCCAGTCGGTATAGCTTTTACAATACAACTAAGGTCCACACCTGTTTCAACACATAAGATTTGGGTTAATGGTTTGAAACACAACAAAATATCAAGTATAAAACAGGAAAAAATGAAGATGAACATCATTTACACTAAGAACTCAAGAGTGTACAGTAAGCATGCAAAACTAAGTTTTAAGCAGCTGTGTATGAATGGGTTCTCTCTGTCACAACTCCACCCCTATGAGGAGTGTAGAATATCAATTATGCAATGAAGATTTTACAGTTTTAGTCATACTGCACACCCAACCTTGTGTGTGGGTTAGTGGACCATTATCCAGAACAGAAGCCTCCAGTTTATTAGGGGATGTAGGAGATAGAAAGTTACTATTTTACACTTTATCCTTTTAAACTCCCAATAAAAGTTACACAGATGTTAATATATGTCTGTTAGTTTACTGAGAGCATTTTAATTGAAATCACTTTTCCAGAAAAAAAAGTAAAAACAATTGATGCAGTTAACAAACAGGAACATTACCCAACTCATTTAACAGACTTACACAAGGCTAAGTTGTGCTGTGGATGGATCAGCAGAACAACTTTTCAAAATATAGTGTACACTGAGCCTTTTTTAGGCAGCCAAATACATTTCTCTGCTTACCCTATACACAGCACTACATTGCTTAGCTTCCGTGCTGGTACCCCTGTCTGCTTCCTCAAACTGGGGGTGCACTGACAGCCGTCTACTATAGTACTTATACACCATGGATAAGTACGTACAACCCCACTTCTAAACACCTGAACTCTGCCTTTAAGTGTTCATGGGGTGGCTATTATTTTGAAATAATAGAGCATTATTCCAATATGCACAGTACTCATCAGACCTCATGGCTCACAAGAGATCTTCCTATACCAAGATAAACAATTTAACAGGCTTTACTGGCAGACGGATCTGCAGTTTGATCAACATGAGACATAAGATGTGCAATACACATACTAATATTTTGCATTTGATATGTTTTACCTCTGTCATTTTGATGCCCCTAGGAAAACGTTACATACAAGAGTCAACAACACAACTGTACAGTAATCGTCTACTAGCCATTGTCCTTTCTAGCTACGTTACCTTGAGACTCAAACTGCTCCACAGCATCCCTCAAAGCCTCACCAGGATCCATCTCAAACTCCTCGATGTTTTCCCTCACAGCAGCGTCAAAGGTTTCCTGTGTGATCCTACGCTTCGCCATGTTCCACACGTTAATCTCTAATCTGAAATGAAGTATAATAAAGACTGAATAACGCTGTTGTAATGTATTAAAAATATCACTTCACTGTTAGCAGCGCACAGTAACAGACAACCTGCCCAACTCCCCTCAATGAACCGAGGCCCACTGACGATCTACGCACTTTACGTAAGTTAGTAACGTTACGTCTCTGCCGGCAGCTCTCAGCGTGAGCGCGGGGCGTGAATTGTGCGTAACAATTTAAGTGAATAGTAAATTCCGCAAGAGGTCCCGCTCGGACATCGTCTCGGTTGAGACATGCACCGCCGAACATTAGTTCCGCTAATATACCGTTTCACTTGAAGACTAACAGTCACTATTTCATATGGTTTTCATCATCCGGGTCACGACTAGTGAAAAAAAACTACATTTAGTAGTATGTTTCATATAAAGAAGACGTATGCGCTACTACGTGAATATCTATTATATATAAAATAAAAGAGGCGGTTTAATAATTTATAATATCTCCGTGGTAAACTTCCATGTCTGGTGGATATATATATATCGTGAAATGCCTTATAAAAATGTGCAGTTGTAAATATGTTATTGTTGCAACTGTTGTGTCACTACAACAACCTGAAATACACGCAAACGTATGTTATCCTCCTTGTCTTACTGTTTTATTTTGAAAAACGGAAACTGTTATTCATCTTGCTGGTTTAACCCTAGTAGCCAGATTCATGCAGAAAATGTAAGCGAGAGTGGACCAGCTGAGGGCAAATCAATCGTCAATCAATCCATCGTTCATTTGGTATTCTTTGGTTTCAGTTTAGTCTTCGGACGACTCGAGATGGCAGCGAGCACTGAGGCCCCGGAGCCCTGGTACCTGGCCCTGCTGGGCTTTGCAGAACATTTCCTTACGTCGGGTCCGCCGAAGATCCGTCTGTGCGTCCACTGTTTGCAAGCAGTGTTCCAGTTCAAGCCGCCTCCCAGGGTCGAGGCCCGGACTCACCTCCAGCTGGGCTCGGTGCTGTACCGACACACAAAGAACAGCGAGCTGGCCCAGACTCACCTGGAGAAAGCGGTGAGCAGCAGGCACACTGGTATCAGGCTGTGCTCATTACTTATGATGACAAGTACTACAAACATATACAAAAGTCTGTGGTGCTTTCCAATTAATTGCACCAGCTGAACTGTGTAAAAACCTGAAGCTGACACTAATATTTTGCTTTCTTGTTTGTATCCACAGTGGTTCATATCACAACAAGTATCCTTTTTTGTGCACAATATGAAATTGCATACTAAGTGATACAAGGTGTGTTACCGCTCCTTCAGTGCATCTCTCAAATCATACATACATGTTCTATAAAGTGGTTATGTATTTATCTTGGCACTAATCTATCTGATAATGCAGTATTAACTTTTCCTTCATGATTTATATCAGATCTCTCAGTTTGAAGATGTGAAGTTTGAAGCAGCAAGTATCCTATCAGAGTTCTACTGCCAGCAGGTAGGGGAATCCATCTTGTGCGTCCTGTAATAATAATATAATATGATAAGCAGTAGTTGAGGAAACTTTAGTATATAATGTCTTATCTTAGGAAAATACACATTAGGCTATAACTTAAATGCAAGAGTAAAATAATGTACTCTCTGTCACAGCTATTGTTTGGTTGTTTTGCTCTCTCTTAGTAACTCATCTTCTTGGCTTCTGTTTTCAAGAACTTGGTGGACTCGGCCAAACCAGTGTTGCGGAAAGCCATACAGATTTCTCAGCAAACTCCCTACTGGCACTGCAGACTGCTTTTTCAGCTGGCAGTAAGAAAATATCATGTATTATAAACTCTAAATATTTGGTAAATTGATTTGAAGCATGTTTCATGTACGTGTGGGATGTTCTTCTCTCTCTCTCTCTCTCTCTCTCAGCAACTACATGCACTAGAGAAGGACCTGGTATCTGCCTGTGATCTCCTGGGAGTTGGAGCAGAGTATGCAAGAGTCATGGGCTCAGAGTACACAAGGTAAACAGATCACATTTATGTTTGAACACAGTGGGAGATTGCACACCGATCTGTGGTTCAACGCTCATTATCTCACATTAACTTTGTTCTTTTCTTTTTTTTCTGGCAGAGCTCTGTTTTTACTAAGTAAAGGAATGGTAAGCTTAAATCATGCTCTGCAGATTAAAGCCGTGTTACATATTATTTGTGTTGTTTGTCGCCATGCAATTCTGTAAACTTCCCGTGCATTTGTGGCTCTGCAGCTGCTGCTAATGGAGCGCAAGCTGAGCGAGGTGCATCCTCTGCTGACGCTGTGTGGGACCATTGTAGAAAACTGGCAGGGAAACCCAATTCAGAAGGAGTCCCTCAGGGTTTTTTTCCTGGTGCTGCATGTTACACACTACCTGGATGCTGGACAGGTACAGCTGTATCCATATGTCTCACTACTGGAAAACCACTAAAATCCCACGTGAAGAGCTGCATGTAAAAGTAAAATTTGATTTTTTTTTTACATTTGACAATTGTAAATTGGAATAACTAAGATATATACATATATATCTTAGTTATTCAGTAAATTATGTTTGCCCTGTGACATAACTAGAGCCCGACCAATAATGTTTGTTGATATTAGCGGCCGATATGAAAACTTTATTTATTATCTGGTATATAATGCAGAGAAAAATGCTTGTGGTAATATATTGATGTCACTGCAAAGTTTATCCAGCAGAGTGTGCTGTGATTTACAATACTATAGCAAGCAGCCACAGGTCTGTTTTCATTCCAGTTCAAAAATTCCTTATGTCAATGAATTTTTCCCCTCTAAATTCAGTATCGCTCTCAAAAATCCCATATTGGTCGGGCTAGCATAACTGTTGTTGAATAAATGAATTGATTAGAATGTAAATTGGTCCCTGCTGATCCCTTATGTATAGTACCTGTAGTCAGTTTACTGGTAACTAATGCCTTATATGCTTATTGCAACCAGGTTTATGTTTATGGTATGAAATTACTAACACAATATGATGCCCAAAATAACAAATAGTCTTATCAAGATATGTTGGGTTTAGGTGAAGAGTGTGAAGCCGTGTCTGAAGCAGCTTCAACAGTGTATACAGACCATCTCCACGCTCCACGATGATGAGATTCTCCCCACTAATCCAGCAGCTCTCTTCCACTGGCTGCCCAAAGAGCACATGTGTGTGCTTGTGTACCTGGTGAGATTTTGTCACACACGCACCTACACAGGAGTTATCCTTACAAAATATAATCATGAATTTTGAAAGAGCTAAATCTGCGTGACGCAGTCGCAACATGATTTGCCTTGTTTTTGTTTGTTTTGTACAAAAGGTGACGGTGATGCACTCCATGCAGGCGGGCTACTTGGAGAAGGCCCAGAAATACACAGACAAAGCTCTGATGCAGTTGGAGAAGCTGAAGAGTAAGTATGTTGGAATACGCTTACTGCATCAATTTCCCCTTGATGGCTGTGTCGTTGAATCAACTCTGATCCATCTGTGTGCGTTCAAAGTGCTGGACAACAGTCCTATCCTGTCCACGTTTCAAGTCATCCTGCTGGAACATATCATCATGTGCCGGCTGGTCACTGGACACAAGGCCACAGCTTTACAAGAGGTACATCGTCACAGACCCTGTAACCCTGTTTTTTTTTTATCATAGTTTAAGATTGTGATGGTTTCTGTCTATGTTTAGATTTCTCAGGTTTGCCAGCTTTGCCAGCAGTCTCCCAGGCTGTTTACAAATCACGCTGCCCAGCTTCACACACTACTGGTAAGTCTACGAAGACCTTTACAGACTAGGAAACACATCTCCCATCCCTAGTATAGGATTCGATTTATTTAAGTTTTCTGAGTCAAAGAGTCTGCTCTGCCTGCCTGCATGGTACTAATGTTATTATAACAGGATATTTCCCCTCTGGAATGGATGTTTTGCTCAATTGGGAAGCAGAGGCTTTTGTGCGTAGAGTGTCAAATACATCACATTCTTGGAATTGAAGCCCATGTTACGTAGAAAGACGTTTCAGCATTTTTCTGGTGTCACTGTTGTCGTCTTTCTTTGTGGAATGAAGCATTGCTTTGAACCATTTCTCTCTCTTTCTCTCTGCCATGACTTGTTCTTGTTTGACGCCATTGTTTTGTAATGCACAGTGTACACCTGCTGGCATCAATAAAATTAAGCTTATATAGGCATACGATTCAGATGGATCGGACAATTTGGAACCAGTTCTCAATTCCCATCTATAAGCAAAAATATTTGTTTGTTTGTTATAATACCGCAATACATATTCTACTTCTAAGTGTAGTTGGACATTTCCCTTTTTCTGTTCATGGTTTTGTTTATGTGCCTCAGTTGCAGAAAAAAAGTAGCTTCTTAGTGTTTACAAGATGCATCTGTCCCAGATAATATGAACCATTCACATCTGTTTCCTCTTTTTCTGTGTCAGGGTCTCTACTGTATCTCTGTGAACTGCATGGATAATGCTGAGGTTCAGTTCACTGCTGCTCTACAGGTGAGTTTCATATCCTCACTGTTAGATCACAAGGTCCCTGTGGATCGTGAGCAGAGGGTGGGGGCAATGGTCGGTGTATTTGATCCTGAAAAGTCAAAGAATTTTTTAAGACACACGGCGATCATGTCACAGCAATAAATGTAACATGTACAAAAGAGAATAGTTAGCAGTATAAAAGCCCTGGCTATCTGACTCTTAGATGACTCAATGTCGCTCTTTTTTTGTCCTCTGTTAGATGACAACACACCAGGAGTTGTGGACTTTTATTGTGACTAACCTGGCCAGCGTCTACATCCGGGAAGGAAACCGACATCAAGAGGTAAAGGAGCTGCTCCTAGCTCCTGCATTTAGATTGTACAAACATGCATTTATACATTTTTTATTTAGTTTGCTTTCAACGTATTTTTTAAATCAACAGCTGTACAGCCTTCTAGAGAGGATTAATCCTGATCACAACTTTCCCGTCAGGTAACTACAAATACATTATCACATCACAAAGGTTCGTTTTAAGGTTTGTTTTGGGTGTTTTTTTTATGTAATAACTTTGACTTCTTCAGCTCTCATTGTCTACGAGCCGCAGCGTTTTACATCAGAGGGCTCCTGTCTTTCTTCCAGGGACGTTACAACGAGGCTAAGTAAGAAAAATTACCCAAAAAATGCAATGTTAAACTTAATTTAGTCTTTACTTATCATTATTACTTAAACTTATCATGTAAACTTGCATCAACAGAAGATTTCTAAGGGAGACCCTGAAGATGTCTAATGCTGAAGATCTAAACAGGCTGACTGCCTGCTCACTAGTCCTACTGGGCCACATCTTCTTTGTCCTGGGCAACCACAGGGTGAGTCTACAATATTACCAGATATCCTCTCGATTACACCACACACACTACATATACTACTAGTATCTCAGGACTGCAGATTGACTATTTATCTATCTATTTTTCTGGTTCCATATTTCCATCAGGAAAGTAACAATATGGTGGTTCCTGCCATGCAGCTGGCCAGCAAGATCCCTGACATGTCTGTGCAGCTCTGGTCTTCTGCCCTTCTCAAAGGTACAGCAGTCAGTCTTAACTGACAGTGAGATCAATGTTACCTTTTGTGATTGTTATTAGGCTTTCATTGCAGTTATTAGATAATAGCAATTGAAGAGTGACAGGAAAGTAGGGAGAGGGGAAAAACAGGGCAATGTTAGCTTTTATGTTCACTTTATTTCAGAAAAAATATTTTCCCTCTTTATGTACTAGAAAATAAGTTTACATTTTGGCCTGATGGGGGCGCAAGATGAAAGCTCATGAAGTGTCCCGAAATGGAATGTCTTCAACCTAAAGTATATATATGTGCTTAGTAAATTTAAATGCAATATGCCCATTGGATTTTTCTTTATGTTGGCACCAGATTAAATGTCAGGGGGTTACCAAAGACATTGGTTTTGTCATCTGGTTACAAATCAGATTTCATAGATATGGAACCCCAAGTTGTTAAAAATATAAATAAAATCTTAAATAATTATGAAATAAATAATCACTAAAAAAAAATTGTGTTAAGCAAAGCATTTCTCAGGACTTTTTGATCTGGCTGTGGCATTAGACGAAAGGTCATCAAAATCATGAGTAATCACCATACTGGGACCATAAATATTAACACACATTTCAGCCAGTCAGTAGGAAGTATCAGTGTGTGTCAAATCAATGTCGGACAAACTGACTGACACTTCATTTTCAGACCCAGCTACTTAGATGGCAGAACAGTTGGTGATGTAATTTGATTTTCTTGGCCCATATTGTTTTTTTGGTTTTTTTGTTGTTGTTGTACTCATCTTTCATCAGTCATAAGAGAGATCTGTACAAGAGACTTTGTTTCTGTTTACATTGCTGTGTGGGGGAAAAAAAAAAAAACCTATGTATATGATCTGAATATGTATATGTTGTACATTTTTCAATAAAAAATTGATCACAAAAAAGTCATAGGAGAGATCCCTTGCAGAGGAGGCAGAGATTCCCATAAAGCATCAATACACCACAGAGTAATGAAGCCACAACTGAATTAGAAGTGGACAAGTCTTAGAGAAAACAACAAAGTGGCTGAAGAAACACTTCATCCCTCTGCAATAGCGTGAGACGTCGGAGCATATTCAAAGGTTGATCTGGCGTTAGGATCCAGAACCCGACATAAAACTGCAGCTAATGGTCATCAGTATTCACAATCGTCTTTTCCCCAGCAGATCTGAACAAGGCTTGTGGAAACACCATGGACGCCCACGAGGCAGCTCAGATGCACCAGAACTTTTCCCAGCAGCTCCTGCAGGACCACATCGCAGCCTGCAGCCTCCCCGAACACAACCTCATCAGTGTAAGCACAACATCAGTCAGTCAACCCATAAACAGTGAGTCAGTCCACCCTGCCTGGATTTTTAAAAGAAACGATTGTGTAATGTGTTGTGTTCCAGTGGACGGACAGCCTCCCCCCTGTGCAGCTGCAGCCTCAGAATGGACCTACTACCAGCCTGGCCAGCCTGCTCTGAGAACAATATCTCACCATGACAGAGGAAAGGAGACACAGGAGAGCAATTGCAGGGAAAATGACATAAAAAAAAGGAGAAGCAGTTGATAAAAGGGTAAGAGGAAGAGGAGACAGGACAATGAAATTAGCAACTGCACTGTGTCAATTGGCAGGCTTCCATTCAGTGCATTCCCGCACTCATTTGGGGCACTGGGGCATCATGACTGGATTTTAAGTAATTGAAGTTTTCTGGAAAGCATAAGGTGTCAGGGGCACATTTTGTATTACACTGACACACTTTGGAGTGGTTTTAATAGTTTGTTCTAACCAGCTAACAGACAACGTAAAGGAAACAAACTTAAATATGCTTATTTGTTTCTTCCCAATTGTGTAATTTTTTCCATTAAGGGGGCTCTGTTGAGTTTTCTTGTAAACAAACAGAAGTTATGTTTACATCTGTTATTACTCAACAAATCGCATCCTAACTTGTATCTTCTTTCAGGTTAAACACAGATGATTTTTGCAGTCTCCTTCTTCCTTTGCTGGTGCATTGCAGCATATCTTGGTGTGTTACCACTACCTGTTGATCAGTGGACTCCCAATAGAACTATGTATTGAGTTGCCTTTGTGAGTATATGAGATAAACAACTCCATAGCACTCAAAAGGTGAAGAAATCCACAGGGAACCTTTAATTTCAACTGATTTTCCCACTGATTTAGCTCATCTCTTCATTCTTTCTTGCAAGACCATTATCAAGGGCTTTTATTTTGGATGAAGTAAAGTACAAATGTTCATAAAACTTGTAGTTTTTAATATTAAATTAGCATTAAATTTGAACCACCTATTGGCCAAACAGACAGTCAAAGATGACTCAGTCTATTGTTGTGCATGAACTCAATAACTTTCTTTTCAAAGCACTGATTGTTCTAGCTGTGATTCACAGTATAAGTTAGTTAAATACATTTGGATATACAGTATACTATATAACTGTAATGATCTTAATGTAGTGTAGTGGTATGTTTGATATGTACTTGGAGGTTGGGTGGACAGCTGCATATGTAGTTTATTCACTGAAGAACCTTCACAAAAAAGATTACATTTTAAATGATATTAGATTTTTTAGACCCTGGAACCAGCTTGCTTGACATCCAGTAGTATTTATTAATGTTTTGAGGGTACGAAAAGTGTACTTCACACATGTTTTCAACTGTGACGCATCAAAAAAATGTTTGGATAATTTTTGGACACTGCAATTCAGTTGACTTGCTGCCTGACTGTACTTCCCTTTAAATTTCTACTACTTCACTCTCACTGTGGTGTGTGTTTATATGCTGTGCATTGGAGTCAAGAAATCAGTAATAATAAGATAATAATATTGACTATTACCTGTTTGCACATATTTTGTTTCATGATGAAACATTTTTATCTTTTCCATGTAAGCAATTATTGGTTTTTTTTATCACTCCCATTTTTTTTTCATTTCCTGTTTTACTCCTTTCTTCCAGATGAATGCCAGTATAAATCTGTATTTAAACAATTTATTTATAACTTATTTATGTTGGTTTATACTAGATGCATTTGTTTGCTAGTATTGTCGATTACCATTTGATATATTATCAAATAACTGGTAGGACTTTTAATTTAGTTACACTAATGTAGGAAAGGTACTACTACATGTAGTGATGCAGATTTCTGTATTTATAATGTTATTTCAAAATAAACTACTGAGTTTAGTCATTTGCAAACTAATTACCAAATGAAAGACTACACTATGGATGCCATTTATTGTATTTTACACTATGTTTGATTTGTGTTTTCTCCATTGTCATTTTAACTGTTCTTAACTTCAACACATCTGACTTTTTATAAATAAAAAATCCAAAGTAGAATGACTTGATTATTCTTGTAGCACAGGCCTTCAAAATTTGATCAACTGTAGCTACATGACACATGAAAAGAGTGAGGATAGACAATAAAGACATAGAGAAGTACATATCTGTGTGACTCTGTAAGTCATCCTATAAGTCATATGTTTATCACAAATGACAGAGAGTGAAAGACGTAAAATAGTTGGATTGGTCTGTTGGCTGAGTGAAACTGTGACAGTGACCAGAGGTCATGTATGTTTTAGCCCATTTAGTACAAAATTCACACATTTTACATCACAGCCAACTATTTTCAACAAAATTTGTTTGTAACAATGTAATGTGTACATGCTATATAGTTAAAGAGCTAAAACATAGTGGAATGGTTCTTTAAGGTCAAACCTTATGAGTTTTATTTTGAAATCCAAATTTTACAATAAAAATAATATAGGCAAGAGTTGTCAATAACAAGTTGAAGATAATTAGAAAATGTTATCATCTGCTGCTAATTATCAGCTATTATTATCAGTTGGCTAAAACTGGATGTTTTCAGGCTGATATGCACTCTACATGGCAGTGTTTGTGCTATCTATGGTTGACCAAAGATTGTTTTTTTTTAAGAAAAGACACAACACTGTATTATTATGATATTAGAAGATACAAAATACTATTAAATAAGACCAGCAGATGGATGGGTCTTATAGATTAATTGTCATTGTTTCATTTCAGTGCAACTGGAGGACAGAGATACACAACTAAAACGTGTCATTGCAAATGCTCTCAGACTACACTACAGATAAGAGCTGACAACTGAGTAAACTGTGCAGGTAGTCAAAATGACTGTCATCTGAGTGAAAGAGATACAGAGGAACAAATCAGAGAGCGGCACATGTCGGGTAATGTGATGATATCCTGATGTGAAAACAAGACGTTTGCTGTTTGAACACTAGATAATCCATCAGGCTGAAAAGCAGTGTTACAGATCAGGGTGATACATTTGTGTATAACACCATATTTTGCAGCAGTTATTAAATCTGCTACTTGCTTGCTCCAGATAGAGAAGTAGATAAAGTACACCAGGGACTGATAATCCTACATGGTTTACCTCTTCAGTGAGCAGCCAGCCTGCAGAGTCCTGCTACAAACAGAGACAGGGGGGCAGAAATGACAGTGACTCTTATACTATTTGCACTACATTTATTACATGTAACTGTACCAGTGTAATCTCACTATATATTGGTAATTATAATCCAATACACACACACATACTTGACAGGTCTGGAAAGTCAATGTAAAAATGAAAAACACTGAAAAAATTGTTTAGTATATTATTGGACTGTGTGGAGGTAAAGTGGTTAAAGCAATCAGCCTAACCTATGTTGGTTTACTGATACTGAGCAGTCTATGCCTTTACGTTGCTTACAACTAGTATTGATCTGCTTTAAATTACATTTATTTGACCTGTAATAAAAAATGTAGCATTGAGATGTATTTTCTTTCATCTTTCAGCACTCAGTTGGTCGACAGTCAAACATAAATTACTTAAAAACGTATTAAAAACGGCTTGAATTGACAAAAATAAATATACGCGCAACCTGCTGAGATATAAAGACGCTTGAAATATAAATACCCACCATATGAGACCCGATTTTCACAAAATGTACGGCTGGATATTAACTTTAATCGTTAGTTGTCTTGATCCACATTGCAAAAGCATCTTATTATAGTGCCATTTCTAAGTAGGAACATGAGGTTATGAAGCCCACATCGGTATTCAATGGAGACACCATCGGAGAGCTCCTCTTTTTTTCCTATAGAAATAAATATATATTTAAAAAAGACTAGATTTCATTAAATGATATAATATTCTTCTCTCCTGTCTGTTTCATCGTGTTTGCCGCTGCCGGGAATCTATGATCACCAAAGGAAGAAGGTTAGTGAGAAGTGAAAAGTTTTGGGACGCTCTAGGTGTCTTGGTCGCCGCTGAAAGGAGCCATTTCCTGCCAAATAGTGAGCCCGTCTAATCGTGACTGCAGCAGCTACTTCCTGCATTGTTACAGTACTTAATGAGGATTAAGTTGAAGCTGTCATGTTGTAACGGGCGGCCATTAGGCCTACTCCACACAGAGAGAAGGAGAGAGGAGAGAGGCTGACCTTACCCCTGTTTGATCTCTGAGCTACTCCTAAGACCTACTCACTGACTCTGTCCTGTCACATTTGTAGAGTAAAAGAAATAATAATCCCATCATCATTATGTAGACTAGTAGTTATAAACAAAGAGTGATGAGGTGGACAAAAAAACAGCACCTGACAATCCAATACAACATGACAAAGTTCAAAAAACAACATTTAAATGAAAACTATGATCTGATCTTTATTATATGCAGATACTGAAGGTAGTAGGCTAATCATTGCCAGGTATTTATTAAAAGACATATTAACCTTTTATTTACTGGTGTTTGCAGGGCTGTAGCCCCCATGCAGCCCCCCACCTCCCCAGAGAAAATCTGACCAGACACCTAAAGGGGAACTTTCTAAGTGTATTATTATTTTTTTTCAACATGAACATTTAAATTCAGTTTGAGAGCCTTCTGGTGGAGAAATCATTTTTGGTGATTTATTTGTTTTGCTTGCAATTAGTCAGACAAGTCAAATTGATTAAATCTTTACTGGAATGAGCCAATTAAATACCAACCATGTGCATTTTTTTCCAGCGAAGCTCCAGGGATGACAGTGTGAGTCGGTTAATCCACCACTTTGGTCCAACATGAAATATCTCAACAACTGTTGGATCGCCCTGAAATTGTGTTCAGACATTCATGTTCCCCAGAGAATGAATCCTAATGAATTTGGTGACCCCCTGACCTTTCCTCTAGTGCCACCACAACATTGATATTTTTGTGGCGGAGTGAGTCTTAACAGCCACTGGAAGGATCTCCATAAGACCTGCTATATATATTCATGCTCCCCAGAGGATAGCTCCTAGTGACTTCCTCTGACTTTCTATCACACACCACCAGCAGATTAAACTTTTCACTTATCCAGTAAAATGTGTCTACATTTACAACACAGATTGGCCCACATTCATGTTCCCCGGATGATGAATCATAATAACTTAACATCTTTGTTTCAGGGTGAAATGTCTTGACAAGTGATCGCATTGTTTGTGGCCTTTATTATCATTCAACCCTTTGCAGTTTGTTCCAGAAACCCTCCACTCTACTATGATGTAAAGACCCCCAGGTTGTTGCAAATGACCAAAATCCCAGAAAAATAAGGACATGACCTCGGCGCCCTCAAGTATAGCTGGCCCTGACTGTTTGTTACTATAGTTATTACTGTAATATCTGCTGTCCCTGGGTGCACATGAACAGTGATGATATTTACAGAAAGATCCATCCTTACCTATAAACTCCAGAGTGTTTTTTAAGTCTTTGTTTAATTTTTGCTTTCGGCAGGGTGATTATGTGAAGATGGCCCCTTGGTGCAGATTTGAGTGCATTTACATGAGACAATCTGTTGCCTCAGGAGATGGAGTGCTTGGATGAGAGGACACCAACAATCGAACCTGATGACACAGCATCATCTAGAGAGAGCTCTTTTTTTGTCATTTAAAGAACAGCTAAATAATGCTGACAAAGCACTCAAACCCCTCCCCCCCACCTGTTAGAGAATAGCTGCCCCTACCCACTTCAGTCTTTATGGACTACTCTCTCAGATCACAGTATTTCAAACACATATGTGTGTGTGTGTGTGCATATGTGCATTTATATGGGTGTTTGTGGATGACAGGGGATTAGTTCAGTTCACAGGGATGCTTTGAAGGTCTTGTCATGAAAGAGGCAGCCAGCTGGATCCTTTATGGAAGCGATATTGCGACTTCTGATCTAGTAACCCTGCCGTGTGTGCTCTGGACTGGCATGTGGTTCTGACTGTAACTGCAAGCCCTGGTCATTAATGCAACCCTCCTCTTAATCTCTACTGTAAAGTGAGAAGTAAATACTGTATGTTACTGAGGTTAATGTTGCAGACTTACAGTAACTCTACGAGTGGATGCTGGAATGTGACTTATTTTGGAGAGTTAATGTGAGAATTAAAGAGTTGGGGTTGATGGTTTAGATCTGTATGTGGGGTCAGGGAGTCGGTTGTGATTGTAACGTAGGTTGATTATATGATGCTGAGGTTGGGATAAGGATCCAGACCTGATGCTGATACAGGTCCCTGTTGAGAGTCGAGAGGTAAACATGAAGCTGAGGTTGCTGGTGTAAGACCAAGGTTTGGTCTTAATATAACTTGCACACAGTAGCCATGTGAATGCATGTTGTGTAGTTAGACTAGACTTCCTGGCTTGGCCTGATTGATCCATTAGGGGGCTGCAGGGCAAATATTCTGCTGGTGGGCTTAACTCCCCACATCCCACCCTCTGTACACACTCTGTCCCCTCAGAGTTTCCATTCAGGTATAATGCACACAGTACAGACTATACATGGCCTCAGGTTTACTGTGTGTCAGTTATTGGTGGTAATTTTATTAAACACTATAAAACACACTATCCTAAACTTTATTTAGGAATATGTGCAATTTAAGGAGGATATAACCTATAATAATTAAGCTTTTAAAACTAGATTTAGACACGAGGCCCCTCTGCAAGATAGGGTTACAACATTATGGTATAATAAAGGACCCATGTTAGCTGATATTGTACTTTGGTGGTGCAAATTCCCTAACAAATTTTCAGTTAATTAAATGGCCAAAAACCAATTAACATGCAGTAAACTGGGGACTTGTGAGGGCCTCCTCGGGGCAATTGAATGGATTGCCATATGTGCCCGGGTTGGCAAACCAGTGTTGCACAGTAGTAATGCACTGTTAGTGCAGCATGCTCTTGCAGCTGCCACTGTTTACTATGTAAGTTGTTATTTTTCTATATGTTTGCATGTTTCTCTATTGTTGTGTGTTTTATATGTTTGGTATAACCAGCCCCAGTGTGGGCATTAAAGGCAATAATGTGGTTTTCAGTCCTCACTAGGGGTTGCTGGTGTCAGTCTATATTGTCTGTTAGGAGGCAATTAAGGAAGGGGGGGGTATGTGTTATGTCTTCAATTATTACAGGTTCTCACTGTAACCTGGTGTGTGTGTGTGTGTGTGTGTGTGTGTGTGTGTGTGTTAGAGGGGATCTCTCTTGTACTTGCTGGTACAGTCCTGGGTCAACCCGAGGAGCCCGGGTCGGGGGGGTGGGGGGTTTGGGGGCCTGACACGGTCGTCCTGCGTTGGCCCTTGGTGGTCAGTGGTTTATATGATGTTATCCGGTCGCCCTGGTATGCCGAGGTGCGCATGCCCACTAAGAGGACGCAGCGGCTCCATGTGTGTTGAGGCGCATTATTTGGCAACAGACGCGGCAGCGGGGAGGGCCGAAAAAAAGAGGATATCCCCTGGATTTCTAAAAAGCAACGATTTATCGAGGTTAACTGCAGATTAAAGATTCCTTGGTCGACCATCGGCGAAGAACGGGCAACAAAGCGACCGAGTAAGTTGACTGAGGTGAAGCCGAAGTTTTTAGTAAGTGGATCGAGGGGAGCCTTTTTATTCGGAGTCGTCGAGAGGAGCCAGGTTTTTCCTCCACCTATCTGTGACGATAAAGAAGCTGATGGGCTGTTGAAAAGTAACACTTCTCCGCAGAGCCAAAGGTTGAGCACCGGGGAGGAGAGAGGGGGGGCTTTGCTCAGCCGAAAAATATTTTATTTTACGTTTTCTTACGCGTGCCAGCTCGAAACTATGATCCCTGGACTTGATTGTGTGCGGTAGAAGTCGTTAAATGAGGTAAGGATTATAAACGGTAGGACGTTTCATCGCCGACGGCTCTTCGGCGGCAAGCTGAGTCCGTGGGCCGGTCGATGAAATTCATGAGTTCCGACTCGGGTTTTTTTTTTTTTTTTACCTCGGGAGGGGACACCAAGGTAAACAGTCCCGGTGAGCCGCACACAGACACACTTTCACGGCGGTGGGATGAAAGTTTGTGCCCCCCTTTTTTTTTGTTTGTTTGTTTTTTTTAGCTGCTGGTAGTCCCGCATCGGCGGTGCAGCCAGGTCAACGATCCGGGCTCGGTTCTGGTGGGTCAGCGGGTTGCCGAGCGACCGGAGGACTTTTACTACTTGAAGTCCGCGGCGGCCGTTGGTGGTCAGACGTTAACGGGTTTTATCCGAGCTGAAAGTGGCTTCGTGTTTTTGTTTGTGCGATGTCAGCTAATGTTAGCTCGCTAACTAATAACACGCTCACCTCCTTCTCTCCGAGGCGGTGTCAATAATAAGAGGAGAAAAAAAAAGCCGGCTAGTTGCACATGTAGTGTGGGCTGGGTTTAGTTTTTAAAGGGCTGACTTTGGTTTGGATGGTGTACTGGGTGGTGTTACGTTAATGGTGGACGCCGCTGCCCGCTTTAAGCCCCCCTGGCACCAGTGTTGGTTCTGCTATCTGGTAGCTAATCTTCCTACTTCTCTCTGTGACAACCGTAGTCTTCCTCCTCTTAAAGCTGAACACACACACACTCTGACACACACCGCACACACTCCCTCTCTGTCTCTTCCTCTCACTCACACACACACACACATTTCCAGTCACCACAGTTTGCAGCGCTTCGGGACAAAGCTGTGGCTCAGGATTTCTGCCATCAAACCAGTACAAACAAATTTTTCTATTGTCTGTTTATCTGGATGCACTCAGAGTTTTAAACCCTCTTTTTAAAAGATATTTAATGATTAAATATGAAGGAGCCTGGTGTTGCACGCATGCAGCATCTGTTATGAAAGCACTGGGTGCTGCTGTTAACTTTATTTCTGATAGTTAAAGACTTTTTTTTAAAGCTTAATTGCACTTTTGTCTTCTATACTCATACTGGTTTTGCTTGAGATTTACTAAGGTCTTATTACACGTTGTCTGTTCTGTTATGAGAGACTTAAATCAACTCATTCTCAGTAACAACAATAAGAACATTTAGTCCACAGATTTGAATTTAAGTATGCTCATTATCAGTGAATAGTGGAATAAATTAGTTGTTATATGAATGAGTTATTGTATTGGTTTATGTTACAGATGCATGTTTCAGACATTGTTTCGTTAGGGCTGCAAGTGCAACTTATTATTGTCATTATTGCTAAATCTGCTGTTTATTTTCTCACTTAATCATTTGTGTTTTTAAGTGATAGCAAAGTGTGATTCCACAGTGACGGCTTCAAATGTGATGTTTTGCCTGACTAAAACAGTTCACTATCACACAAGAGTAAAACATACTTTCAAGCTGGAACCAGTGAATTTGTGCCATTTTCAACGATTGATTATCACAATTGTTGCTGATTAATTTTCTGTCAGTCAACTAACTGTTGTAGCTCTGCTTTTAGTCCGTAACCATCAGTAATAATTGTTTAATTTGGACCTGTGCACAACAAAGACACTTAAAACCAACTAGTGTGCCCTCCATGTAGAGTGGGGATGGTACGGTGGTAAAATAATCTTTGTGGAGATCTGGAATGAACACTCAGTTGTTCATGCAAACAAAGGCTTTGTAAAGAGTTATTTGCTTGTTAACAATCTGTTGCATTGTTTATGAGCTATCACTGTGAACAAAATACAGGTTGCCTTTAGTGAAGGGGTTGTCTGACACTAGTCCGAGGAGAGGAGAATGCTTTGCTTTGACGCTAGTGAGCCACCTGTTATACACAGACAGACAATGCTGAAGTTGTGCATCCACAGTATGATGTACTGGTAGTTGTGTCCACCCAGAGAGACTGTATTCACAGTCTGACACAGTGAGTCAGAAAGTGTGCAGAAATTAGTTATTTTCCAGAAAACATTGTGTCCAGTGATCATCCAGAGTAGTTGTGTAATCAGCCACTCTTCTGGAAAGGTTCGTCTGCTGGCCACATTAAGCTGCTGCACATGACTGTAGGGGTCACAGGACAGCTGTTCGGTCAAGCCTCCACGACTTCATCAAACATATAGGCAGCAATTTGCTCACTAATGGTCTTTTTTTCTGCCTGTTTTGTGTAGACGGTGGTGTTACTCGCGGCGTGAAGCACTGGCTTGTTAAGTGTTGAGGCTTTTTAATGGAGCGAGCCAGCGACCCACACAAGTTGGCTTTGGCTATGACTAGCTCCGAAAGCTAAATCGTTCATATGTACAAACTGCAATTCAGTTCTTTTATTGTGATCACGCCGTGAAGGTTTTGTTTCTAGCTGGTGAGCTGGGAGAAGCTTTGTTGCTATCCCCTTGTCATTCTGATAGATGCAACCAGATAATTGATAAGAAAATGTTGCTGGTGCAGCAGTTTTTCAAGGTAGTGCAGCTGCATGATTGCACGCTGTTCTGAAACCCCCTGTGCGGTGTAGAAATATGTTTCCACTGGTTAAAGGTTGGTCAGTGGGTAAATAAATCGCTGTATGCGCAGGCAGACGTCGATGATGGTTGAGAGTGATTCTGCCAGCCTGAATGAAGGGAGATTGAGTGACTGATGGTTGACATGATCCACAAGTGACTAGATAAATAACCACCTCGAGGCAGGAAGAAAAGACACTCAGCAGAAAACAAGAAGACAGGTGTAGAGAGACGGCAGACTCTGGTGAGTGGTGCCATGATAGTGCTGGCAACCTGATACCAGATTAAAGTAAGCATTGTTGAAAGCCACACCTAAAAGTCAAGTACCTGCACAGGGCAATTAGATAACATGGTAGTGATCATTGTGATTTAATTACACAGCAGATGTTAATGGGGGGATGGAGTTTGATTAGATAAATGCTTGGAAGGAACACAGGCTGTGTAATGTTCATCCCTCCTGTGAAATACTCAACCAAATAAAGCACTAATGAGATATAAGTAAAAACTCAGCAGTAACTATCAGTGGTGAAATCTCACATGCATTAAAACATTATTAAATGTAATTAATTGTTATAGCTTGATGATAAAATGACAAAGCAGTGTTTGTGACATGACCAGCCTTGTGGTCACGTTGTTAATGCCGCCTGATTAAGATTATTATAAATCAGATGTAAATAAACGACTATGATTATTATTTAATTTTCTATTAATTGTCTAAGCACTTTTGCACTGTGACACGAACCTTATGTCTCTGCACGTACTTCACAAAGCTAAGCTCTTACATTGTTTTGTTACATTTAAAGATACTTGCATATGAAAAGTACTGTGTGTCTGTATGTTGGTCGGGGGTGAACACACAAGAATTTATATTTTATAAAGCATCTTCAAACAATGTGACATTCAGACTCAAAACACTTAGGCTATATGAAATTTGTCCTCTTATGTCTCCAAGATTCATTTAGCTTTACTTGTTGGGTTTTAGTTAAAGAGACAATGCAGTTACACTCTGGCGTTATAGTTTAGTTTTTATTACAACCATTTTTAAAGGGGGACACTTTGGGCTAGGGCTGGATGTTGTGTCTTGGATATTTAAAACAATATATATATTTGACCCACTCAAATGTCAACAGCTGTGTTGATTAATAGGCAGTGAGTCCGTCCTGTACTCAAAGAGATATGACACTTAAAGCCATTTTAAAACTGTACAAACAGAGAAACAAACACATGTTGTGGCACATATCTCCACTAGTGTGTCATTTATACCCGGTGTACAGAAATATCACCCACTCCTATAATGGAGGACCCAACAGCATGCTGGGAAATACACATCAGTTGTAGAAAGGTGGAGAAACAATGCGTTTTGTGAGCAAAGACAAAGGAAGTTTTTCCTGTTAAAAAGGATTTGGTCCCGTGTATGTAGGTAGTTTTGAAAGTTGCTGATTGAAGACTTTTGTTCTGATTAAAACGTATTAAAAGAGTGACAACCACCATATACGTTACAGTGATGTTTAAAGGATTTCCATCTCATTTGAATGTTTAGCAGGATAATTATACCACGAAACTGTCATAACCACACATACGGACTGTTATAAATAAATAACGTGTGATAGTGAACAGTCACTTTACTTTGTGTACAAAGCATCAATTTGTTTGTCCGGTGTTGTTTTCCTTTCAGTTTAAGTGGCCTTCAGAGCTTTTACACTGGTTGCATGTGATGTCGAGTTCCTGGGTGGGCGAGGGTTTGCTTCTCTATATGTGTGTGTGTGTGTGTGTGTTGTGTGTTGTGTTGTGTGTAAACTGCCATGGAGAAACATGAAATATGAACCTGTCCGGCCCAAAATCTTAAATCCCCTGTTCACAAAGATAGGCGTCAGTGTCCATAGTAAGGTTGGGGGGGTAAGTTCCCCGTGCATAACGTCTCCCCCAGGCATCATTTCACAGCTAATATGCATTATAATTGAAAATACCCATCAACCCCACCCCCCACCCACCACACACACACACCACACCACACACACACACCAAACAACACAACAAACTGTATAAATGGCCGTCACAAGTGGAGGCCTGGCCGTCCTGCTTGCGGCACCTGAAGGGTTAAAACGTAGCTTTCAGCCTTGCTCCTCCTCCCCAGTCCACAACCACACACCACACAGTCCCCGTAAACACCCACACACATACTAGCCAACTGGTTTAAACCGGTTCTCAGGAAAAGTGCTTTGTGTGTCCCACTGAATCCTGGGAAGGGTCATGTCATGTGTGTCTCAGTGATGTCAGAGTATTAAAAACCAAAACAACAACTTGTTCAGCTCTCCGTCATCAGACGACTGCTCTGCATGCTGCATTGTGACTGTGCACGTATACTGTGTAGGTACATCACTGATACACTGAGTGGGCTTTATGCTGACCGCCACAGTCGTTCTGAGAACAGGAAAGGGAGGGAGTCGGAGCTTGTACAGTGTGTGTCACATCAAGTGGTAGCTGTAAGGGTTAATTGTATTCCCCCCCCCCCCCTAAAAAGAAAGGGAAAGAAACATAGCTTCCTGTTGTGCAGACTGAGGGCCTTGTTGGCTGGACGGGGTCTCGGTTCTGAAACGTATGTGTATGAATGTGACTCATGACATAATGGTGCTGTGGTTTTTCGTCATGGCCGTCCAGTAAATAGCTGGTAGACGGTCTCTGAATTTCACTTTCTGTTTGCGATTCTGTAAGCTTTGAGCGCAGGTCGTCTCCTGTCGTATGCCGCATGTTTACCTTTTAAACAATGTCATTTCAATAAGTGCCTCTCTGTGCGCACTTGTATCCCTGTGTTGAGTCTTGGCCTGGTTGTGGTCTTATTATGGATATAAAGTTTACATTGAACAACAAAAACCTGGTCATTCACATCCCTGTGTGTGATCAGAACAGTGTCCACGTCCCTGCATGAGTCTGAACCTTTAACATCTGAATGCCTCTGTGTCATCTGACGATGAACCAGGTTTGGTTTCTGCTGCATTTTCCACTTTTCTCGATTTAGCAGCTCTTTCTAATCACCTGTAATGGAAGATAACTGCATTACGTAAGTCGTACTTTCCCTCTATTTTAGCTTGTTGATCATCATTTCATCATTTACCAGTATGTTTTTTTGTTTTTCTGACTAACTACCAGGTAACATGAGCTGATGACTCACCCGCGCACAAGGCAGAGCTTGATCAGAAAACCTGGAGAAGGTGGTTGGTTGTACGTTAGAAAAGACAACGTTTGAAAATGTGTATATCTGATCCATGGCCACACTCGAAGGCAGGGTGACAGTTAGATATGGGGATAACGGCGCACACTTTTAGTATTCACACTCAGTCGTGCACAAAAAGAGATAGTTGTGTAAAGAATGAAAAATGAGAGTTTGAGAGAGAAGTTCAAATCCTGTTTACTCTCTCACCTCTGCTCTGCTCTCCAAACGCTGCATGTGCATGCTACTCAGATCGTCGATTTCAGAAAGTAACGTACCCTAAGTTTGACGTTTCTTAAGCTATTCGATGGTTGGACAAACACTTCTGTTGACCCACACTGGTCCCTTTATTCTAACGGTCCTTATCCTGTCACTACTCACCATTAATAACTACACAGGCATAAGAACCATACCTTAAGATTGATCAATACTGAGACTGAACAACACATTTCTGTTGTTGTACAGGATGATAAAGATATGCTGTCTGTTATACATAAAGGCTTCTTTGTGCACTCATGTGGAAAGTTCATCAGAGGTGTACACAGAACAGTGTGACGGGCCATTATCAGAACCAGAAAGGTAAACATGTATTGATCTATGTAGTCTGTGTGTCTCCTCTTTCATTTCTGACCTGACATGGAGGCATTCAGAGCAGCACTGTTGGGGAAAATGTGCGTCTTTGTGCGATGTACTGGTGCACATCTGTGAATGTGTGCAAACAGTGCACCTGACTCAAGGAAAGAGAGGTTATACACAAGCTAGAGTCTTTAAAATGATAGAAAATGATTCCACTTTCACACAAATGAATTACTTAAGTACTTGGATTCATGGGTTGTTATGAATATTTTATCAGTAATCATGCTCCAGTTCATTTAGGATATTCTGTAAATCCATGTTAACTCTAATTTGATGATGAGTTTGTCGTGTTCTTGCAGCTGTTTGATGACTCACTGCACTGTTTTCTTTCAAAAGATAGAAGCAGTAAAACAATCCTTAGATTTTGTTTGTTTTTGTGCACTGAACAATGAGTGCTCACTCTTTTTTGTTCAGTTTTCCCTTCTTTTGGTATTTGGTTTAGACAGAAATTTGGGTAATTGGATGTTTTGGAATTATACTTGAGTCAACGTCACGGTCATGTGACCTCACTAATCCAACATGTTTTGTCTGGGGGCCATTTTGGCCACCATGTGTCCCCTACAGCTGCTTCAAGGTCGGTTTTGTCTACTCAGATTCTGAATGATAGGCCCACAGTCACAACCACACTATCAGTAAACCTAATTTATTATTGGGTTATAGCTCTGTACTGTACGTTTTCAGATAATGTCAGCATAATAAAATAAGCTGTTACATTGGCTCAGCTTACAAATAGTCTTTATAGACATTGTGTCGTACCGCTGTGAAGATCCAAACGGCTGTAATCCACTTCCCTTTGAACTTGAGCTACATTTATCTGCTGACAGTCATTAATTGTCGACACGTTGCCAGAACCTTCTTGGTTGCTTAGGGCTGAATGAATAGACCTTTTGTGATGTGTTAACCACATTGCTCATATTATACCTCCCCAGCTCTGGTCAGATTTGACATCAATATGGGTTGGGCTAAAAATCCATTTAAAAATCTTTGGACTCATCCTGTCCCATGTACTACACACTTGTTTGTACATGACTAAGAACTCGATTGATATTTGACCTGCTTTCATCTCTTCACGTTTTAACTACTCTCAAGACAGAACATGAAAATTGAACTTCCTATTAGGGTTGAGCTTAAAACTTAAATCAAATGCTTTAGTGATCACGCTTCTGCTGTTTTTAGCTGCTTTTAGCTCCTCGACTTCAACACTTCACCCCCTGTGGAGTTTTCTTGTAAACTAACTTAAGTTATTTTTACAGTCACTGTTCCTTCTGCATGAAACTTTTGCAAAGTATTTTAAGTCCAACATTGTTTATATCCACGTTTACTAGCTTGCAGTCTTATTCTTCTCTGCCTTAGCCGGTGCATTACAGCATATCTTGGTGTGTTACCTGCGGATCACCCACGCGCATGTGCAAGTAATAGACAAAACAGGGACCCGCTTTAGCTAATAACGGCTCCATAGTGCTACTACAGCTCACTCCACGGGGGATCCGGTGCTGATGGTTTGGGCAGTTAACAGACATGTTCTCCCCCGCCTCACATGCCTGTCTCCTGGTCAGACAGGAGGTTCTGTGGATCCACTGCAGGTGGGAGTCAGGCACAGTGAGTTGGGAAAGCTTGTCCTGTAGCAGAGCTGGGATGAATGTGTTGAAAGCAGAGCTGAACCTATTTTCAGGCACACTTAACATTGTCTTAAAAAAAATGCTTTAGTTTATGAGACTGCTGAAAGCTCATCACCCAAAAACTTTTCTTTGTATTTATTTAGTCAGTGCCATGTGTTTTTATTTCATTTTTGACAGCTCCAGTTTGTGTTAGATGCTTGAATGTGATGTGACTCTGTGTAGATGGCTTAAATAAAGAATATCTGTAGGATGTGACCTGTAACACAGATCCTGTTTGAATGCATAACAACACAGTTAATGCAGTTATTTCTTCCGTTATCTGCAGGGGATGTCTGAGGAGGCTGTCCGCCAGACGCGCAGCCAAAAGAGAGCGCTGGAGAGGGATGCTGCTCCACAGTCTATAGAACCATCCAATGCTGACAATGAAAGCAAAAAGCCTAAATTGGACCTGTCTGAACCCCTAACACAGGCACAAACTGAACCTACACCCGACCCTGTACTGACAGAGGACGGCGAGAGCCGGTCTAAGGATGGATCAGAGCACGAAAAAGGTGAGGAGGAAGAGCAGAGCCGGTTGCCGTCATCTTTAGCGCTACCTTTGGCCTCTCACCCGGTGAAGGAAGATCGGGAGTGGACCCAGAAACAACAGACGGTGGAGCCTGGCTCAGACAATCGGACTGACTGCAATGACAGAGCCAGCAAGGTGAGGACAGAGCCAGCTTTAGATACAAGGAGCCGGGTCCGACCGACGGAGCCAAAGGTGTCCAGTGGCATGCTGGCTGCGGGTGAGGTGAAGGCCACCATTAAAGTGGAAGTTCAGACGGGGGAGCAGCCTGTGGACATGAGCACCTCCAGAGGGTGAGAAACAGTTTATTACAGTTTCTCTCTCTCTGCTGTGAAAATCACAAAGTACCTGTCCAAAAGGCAGGAAAGTTCAACACTAAAGTTATCTGGTTTCTCTAAAGTACTGCTTCTTGTTAGGAAAAAACCTCATTTATGAGAGTGTGAAAAAGGATAAACGACACTTTATTTGAATCTGAAAAGAGGAAAAATGTTTAAAGTTACTTTTATGATCTTGTTCTTTAAACTAACTGTGTGGGGTAGAC